ACCCGATCATTGGATAACATTGACGAGGAGGGGTGTGCGATAGACTTACCTCCACGTGGTGCACCCTGGTGGGTGTGCGATAGACTTACCTCCACGTGGTGCACCCTGGGAAACGTATACTCATACGGTAAAAAGTCTATTAACCGGAAGTTTGTGTGCGATAGACTTACCTCCACGTGGTGCACCCTGGGCAGCGTATTTTCTTACGGCAAAAAAGTCTATCACTCGGCTTTCGTTATATTCATACGGCAAAAAGTCTATTAACTGGCAGTTAACTTTACTCATACGGTAAAAAGGTTCATTAACTGGCAGTTGACTTCTGACTTCTAACCATCATGACCCCACTGTATGTCGTATTTGACTACTTCCACAGTACTCACCTCACCTTTTTTATACCTTTGTGTCCGTCCGTCCCTCTTTTACATCTTTGAAACAATCTTCTGTTCCCCCTCCTCTCAACTTTTTTTCACTTTGATGTTCCTTCTCCTCTGTGAACCCTGAAGTCAACTAAAGGGCTAATGAAAACTATCAAAGCGCCTGCCATTTGATTTAATTAAATACACTGATGAGGACTGAGACAACCAATTAGCGAATTATGAATTTTGGAACTCGTAAAGAAAATATCGATTTCAGCTACTTCACATAGATTTCTACTGTCCCTCTCCTTTAAAAAGGATGGCAAAATTTCGCAATCATTTCTAAAATAATAATTAATTTAGTATCGAATTTCGGACTTAACAAATTATGAAATACGGGAGCACTCTACTAATATTGATGAAAAAAGGTTAATAGTCCAAAGATCCAATATATTATGCAATTCACCGTGTTGACTGAAAATAAATTGACCGTTGAAATAAACCCATGAGTATTCTGATTCGAACTATCTAATAACCTTACCCAGGCATTTTGACATGAAGCCACATTTTGTGACTGACAAAGCTAAGTTCACTTACGTAGAATTTAAAAAATGCAATTTCAAACTCAACCAAATATTCCATGCACTGAAAAATCTTGAGAGCATCTCTATTAGGTTCAACACTACCGCAACGACCATTACGCAAGCCTGTCGAGTCAGAACTTGTGGAAGCGGGGTGGTAGAAAGTGGATCTCTTGCCATCACCGACTTTGATCCCTTCTACTGATCATGTCAAGGATGAGATTTGGACCAGGAAATAGATGCAGATGGGCGACTCGAGTTATTGAGCGAGTTTTCGCATGATATTCGGTACTTATTATTTGATCATTTAGGATGGCCGATCATAACACTAGATTAGTTTTTTTAATTCCAAACGTATTTACTGACATGTATTTCCAAAATATGCTGATATTCGAAAAAACTCAAAACTATATCGACAACCCACGAGTTCAAATAAAGAAATAACAAAACGGTATATTAATGAATGAAATGGATAAATGAATGGGGTATTACAAATAGGTGCGAATGTACGTAGTAACCCGAAATCTTGCAACAGTACGTGACACCGCTCCAAAGTCCAGATTCCAAAGGTAGAGGACATGGAAACTGATACCACTTAATAACTCGATGGACTTGCAGTAGCACATAATGACATTGTATTCATGTCGTATTTGCAAAATAGATGAAGCTCAGGTTGCAGGAATTGTAAAAGTTAACCCACTGAGTAAGTATACTCATGATGGCTTATCATTTTCACGATTTTTACTTTTGATTTTGAAGCGATTTGTTGATGTTCACTTATCGATCGAAATGAACCAATCAACAGCCCTCAGATATAGCGTCGGTACTGATTGGCATCCGGGGTGTGCGATAGACGTACCTCAACGTGGCGCACCGTGGGCAACGTATACTCATGCGGCAAACAGTCTATTAATCGGCAGTTGACTTCTCACTTCAAGCAACCATCACCCCCACTGTATGTCACATTCGACCCCTACCACAGCACTCATCTTACCCTTTCTGAGCCTTTGTGCCTGTTTCTTTTACATCTTTGAAACACCCTTCTATTCCCCCTCCTGAATTCTTCTCACTTTGATGTTCCTCCCCTCTGTGAAGCCCGAAGTCAAACAAAGGGCTAATGATAACTATCAAAACGCCTGCCATTTGTTATAAATAAATAATAAATGATTGGCACCCTACTTTCATCTGCTCGGCTCTAATCCTCTCAACAAGTACAGATTTGGTTTCTTTGGGTCTTGTATATAATCTTCAATCCGCTACGTTTCAACATTTATTTTGGAACTCATATACTTTCAGATGGACATCCTATGTGTAGTTATTTTGTGAATAATACAATTAGTTCTGTACATATCAAAGTGGAAAACAGTTGATCTTGTTTAATGTGATTATGGATCGAAGAGAGAGAGAGTAAACAATTTGAGGAACTTATGCATATAATTAAAAGCCTTGAGGGGGTCAACAGTATATGGAGTAGTCGTGATGAGCATTCGAGGCAGGAAGGGATGAATAAGGGTAAAAGAGGAGAGACGTGAAGAGGGAGAAAACATCTTCGAACTACTGTGAACTGTCTTTGCGCAAAAGTGTGCCTGTGTTGAAATAATAAAGCCAGTTAATAATAGCTAACAGTCATCATGATTTCATTATCTTATAATGCAATAGGGTGTGAGTGCGGCGCACTGAAAGAAGTTTGTTGAAAACTACATGGAAAGGTATTTATTTCACTGGCAAAGAATGCTAATGGTAAGAGCTAGCCCCCCAACCCCCACAACCCCCCCCCCC